CAGCAACGCCGAGTATCAGCATCGCATGCTGATGTTAGCAGCTGTTTTTGCACTGTAGCCACTGCTTCGTCATGCATGCGTGTTGCGTTGCAGCTTCGCTGCAAGAACTTGTGTTTCGGTCCGATTGTTAGGGCCCGTCTGGCCGATCAGCTTCGTTCTTGCATTGCTGATCTGTTGGTCCGTTTGTGGTATCTGTTTGGTCTGGTTGGTTTGGTTGCACTGGTTGGCCTTGGCTGGCTCGAGCCTTGTTTTGTTTGACTGGTCTAATTACTTCGCTTGGTCTGGCGAGCGGTCGTCTGCATTATATGACGAGCTTGTGGTCGGGAGTTACATGCTTTGTCTGACGGGTCTGGGTGGTTTGTCCTGGTTGGTCGCTGTGATGATAGTAGGTTTGCTTATTTCGTGTGGTGTCGGATCGGTCATGTGGTTAATAATTATGCATCGGATTGTTGGACATGGTCTGGTTGGTTTGGTCGGCTAGATACGTTGGTGTGGTTGCATGGGTCGGTCTGGTTGAGCTGGCGCTGTCGGTGTTGCTTGTTTTGTTTGGCTTTAGCGATACTGAAGCTTTACCAGGATCGGCCTGGCCGTCCTCTCGTCCCACCTTTACTCTTCGTGTTCCTCGTCCTTCCGTTTGACTCTTTGCTTTCCCTATCGAGCTCTGCCACTTCCCTCCTCTTCCCTTCATTGCCCTCGATATATTATGTAGTGCGCTTCGCGCACCGTCAGGCTCAATCTCATTTGTCTCTTGCGTGCTCCTGCGCCTCCTCAGGCTCTTGCTCGTTTTCCCCGTGCTCCTCTTCTCCCTCTTGTTTCCGCCTAGGCTTGGCTGCCCTGATTGATTCGTTTTGGTCTGGCTGCTTCGGCCCGCCGCGTTGAAGATGCGGGGGGTGGGGGCAGAATGGGAGGAAAGAGAGAGAGAGAGGGACAGGAAAAGCGAGAGAGAGAGAGAGAGAGTTAGAGAGAGAAAGATGACAAAACAGGAGCGGGGGGAAAGGGGCGGAAGGAGGAGGAGGAAAGAGTACGCGAGGGCGACCAGGATTATGCTGATTCACGTGTTCCACATCCAGATGGGGAAAAGGGGGCGGGGGAGGAGGAGTAACCGCAAGAAGACTGCGAATATGAAAACCATTAGATTTGCTATCAAGTACGAGAACGACGCTCCTCCTCCTCCTCCTCCTCCTCTGTTTCTCCTCCTCCTCCATCTCCTCTTCCTCGAGAATGAGTAGACGCGAGAGACACACCGAGAGAGAGAGAGAGAGAAAAAAAAAAAAAAAAAAAAAAACGTGCCCGAGGTGGAGCCCGCCACGCCGCGAAAGCCCCACAGGGCTGCGTGGCCCCTCGCCGCTCTCGCCGGCGCGGGCGCGGCCCCAGCGCTGCCGCGCGCTGCTGCTCCACAGGGGGGGGGAGGGCGGGGGGCGAGCAGGTCGAGCCGACTGCCTGCCGAGGGGGGGGCGGACGAGCATCAGAGAGAGCATCAGAGAGAGCATCAGAGGCGACGGGGGGGGGAACAGGGGACGGGTGGGGACGAGCATCAGAGAGAGCATTCGCGCCCGTGGGGCGCGTACGTGTTCCTGCTTCGTCAACGCGTTCGCCCGGGCAGCGAAGTACGTCCAAGGGGATGGGGGCCCTTGCATGTGAGTCATCTTGGAGGTTCATCTTTTTGTCTTCTAGTGTGCATGCACGCTTTGAGGACTCATGCCGACTGCGCCTGAGGAGGAGGAGGAGGAGGAGGAGGAGGAGGTAGGAGGGGGGAGGGCGAGAAGGTGGAGGGAGAGGAATTGGAGGAGTTGGGGGGAGGGGGAAGGGTGAGAATGAGGAGGAGGAGGAGGTCCAGAACAAACCCATGATTCATCAGCGATGCTGCAATAGATCCTCCCGTTCCAAGTCCCCTTCTTCTTCTTCACTGCAAGAAGCGTCCCCCAGAAAGAGAAGCACCCGATGGGCTTGCCGTTCAGGCGACAGCCTCGCTTTGACAGGGAGGCGCCATGCATCGCTTCGGCGCAGGAGCAGGAATGCGACAAGGCAGGAGCATGTAGCTCAACGAAGTGTCCAACGATATTCCCGTTTGGGCGATGACCGTCCCCAACCCGTGCAGCCGTTGCACAAGCTTGCACGCATGGCCATGAACTTCGAGGTACTACCAAGCGAAAGGCCCACTTTGGAAAGGGCCCACTCTCCATGCGAGCAGTTGCAACAGACCGTGGAGATCATTATATTGCGAAAGCCTTACGGCCGGCGCCGCCGACCTTGAAGGGGGGACGACGACGAAGACAGCGACGATGAATTGATTCAAAAATCTAAGGAACGAGAGGGATGAGGAGGAGGGGGACGGAGGAGGTGAAGGGGAAGGGGAAAAGGATGGAGGAGGGAAGATAATTAGGAGGAGGAAGGATGACGAGCTGGATTGTGGAGGAGTTGCCATGGATTCGCCATTTACCAGGATTGGGGTGGTGTGTCGCCACCAAAACAAAACGGCAGCGCGGCAACCACTTTACTG